TATATATATATATATATATATATATATATATATATATATATATATATATATATATATATATATATATATATAACCACAATAATATAAAAGAAATGCTTAGACATTATAAATAATATTTAATTAATAAATGCTATACAGCTGTTCATTTAACACTGGACAATTAGAAAGACTGTTCTCATGTAAGTAATAACTACTGTCAATAATAAGCTATTAAAATAAAAGGTATATTTTAATTGTATGGAGGGCAGTGGTGTCCTACAGTTCAACAGAGACTAGATGGGAATATCATCTCTGGTAGGGTGTTTGTTTTTGTGATAAATTTGAGTGAGAATAAATTTAGATGTTCAGGAAATCCTTGAGTCTAATGAGGCCAAGGTAATTAAGCTGTGATCAACAGCCGAGACTAGTTTTTGCATGTGTTTATTTTTCAAATGTTTTTTGTATATTAATAATTCTTTGTAGAACTTCACTACAGTGACATGTTTCTTGATAATGTAACTCTGAAAAATTGGGTGAGAGGGATATTAGATCTAGAACAAAACCTGGAGGAGCAGGGTAATGAATTAACTAAAGGTGATGTAGTATTAAGGTATTAAAACTAAAAAGACACCTTTATAAAAACGTGAGCTAAATTAATCTAAAGCAGTACTCTTAATCATGACGACTCCTGAGATGATGTAACGGAAATGTGTTGCAATCAAACTCAGTTTTAGCTGCTTTTTAGGTACAATTTGATTAAGACACCTTTAAAGTCCTGCAGAGAGCAACAATGAAGTCATTTCATGGAAAGAAAACATGAGCAAAAAAAAGGATTTCAATTGTAGTTTGTTTAGTCAATAATACATTTTTTATGCTTTAAAATGTGAATAAAAGTTTCTGCCTATTTTGATTATTAAAAGTATGGAGTCAGTTTTTAAAGTGGCATGCGCTGTAATGATCTGCCATTTTAAGCACACAATTATTTAAATCATAACAAGGGCTATTTTGTTTTTTTTATAATAATCTGGGTTGGTCTTTTGGATTCATTTAAGTCATCATCAAATTCTTCTGAGTCCTCTGCTACCAGAATGGTCTTTTGTCGTCTCAGAGGAATCAAGGCCTTTCTCGTCCACAAGAGCCTCGACTTTCTAACTCCTTGCTGTAAGAATTGCCCCACCAATCGTCAGGGTAGGCAAGGGATTAGCCACAGATTAGAGTGGCCATCTCCAAACCCTGGCTAATCCTGCCATCTGTCAGAGAGCAGCAAACCAGCCAAGACTCTCTTCACTGGGCTAATTAGAAAAGCCAAAGGAGAGCACACAAGAAGAGGGAAAAGAGAGGCTATATGTGCAATACAACATCCAAACTTTTCTGGTTATTTTTCAAATAGGAAATGGAGGAGACATACCTTCTCAACTATCCAGGGGTCAAGAAGAAAATCTTAGCAGGAGGCAAAGGACCACTGCCTCATTTTCCTCCTGGGACAAAGGTCTGTAAAAAAAAAATTAATTTGGAAAATAATCTGAATAATATTAAGCAAATCCATGTATTTTGTTGCAGTGAGAAACAGTCAAATTTAAGTGTTTATGTTTAGAAGGCTTTTGTGCACCAACATTAGATCCTCTTGCATTATTCATAAGGAGGGAACATTTACTCCCTGTCTGGCTCTTATGCACAAAGCAAACATTTGGTCAACCAAATTGCAACATGTATTTTTGGCCCACTTCCTGCTCATCCTCTGATCTGCCGGTTTCCAACTTTATCCCTCCTTCCCTTCATGTCCAGCCATATGGCAATGAGCCTAGACGTTGTGACAAATATGTTCCATGACAATGCCAGCATGAATTTCCACTCACCTGCGTGGTTATATGTGTGTGTGTGTGAGGAGGGGGGTGGGGAGTCTCTGTATCTCTCCACACTTTCCATTCCATTTAAGTGATTTCCAGTTGCTTGAACAGCTTTTAATTTGTTTTTTTTCCTATTGTACTGGGCTATAATTAGTGAGTTGGGACCCAACATAATTTCATAGTTAGACTTATCATGGTTTTGGAAGTCTTTAATAATAACCAGATGGAAGACCTGATAAAGAACTCTCTCTGTGTTACTACAGAACCACTCACTACAAAGGAATGTTAAATGTTAAAGGCTTATTTATATTTTAAAGATATAAAAACATGGAAACATGAAAGGTATAGGGAGAAATAACTACAAAATGAATGGAATGTTTTCCATTCTAAATACCATTAAACGTGCATCAAAAAGAAATTTTATTTTTTTTAGATTTATGACAATATTTTCAGTCTAAACCGTAATTTTTTTATGTGTATTTATTTATTGCATATTTTGTTTATAAACAAAATTTGATCTGAATTCACCTTATCACTTGACCTATTTTATGTTGCCTATACCTTTTTTTAACGTCCAAATCAATAAGTATTTAACAAGTCAGTGTTTTTTTTTATAAATATATTTATAAAGTGCCGAATGGCATAGAAACTGCACCAGATGTTGAAGATCCAGGTAATCCAAGTTTCAAGATGCCAACATTTTCTGGAGCTCTTAAAGCCTGGTTGAAAACTGTATAACACTGCTAACAGTACTCTTTTGTCATAATAAAAAAGAAAACCTCAACGCCGCTTTTCAACATAACCTCTGGGCTAGTAGGTGTATAACTCTAGCACATATATAACTGTACCTCAAGCCTGCCCTTCATTGATCTATTTCAAATATATCATCTACATAATACTTTTATATTAAATCCTGCCTTCAAACCAAATTAACAATCTCTATAATCAAGTTATCTCTGCTCAAATCCCTCAAAAAATGATCACAGTCAGTTTGTCTAATAAATTCAATACAGATATACAAAGTAATTTCATAATTCGACTAACCAATTGCAATCCCAGTAATAAAATATCATCAGATTTATCTATTTCACTAACTGTAGATCTGTCATACAAATTGTAAGAACATGATTCTAATGACCAAAAACTGCAACATTCAATTAATTCAGAATAAAGTGGATATTACTAGAAGGGAAATATTTAAAACTGGCTACTCTGCCAAAATTTGTTCACACTGTACCCAGAGTAAACCTGATACACCCATCCATCCATGCTCTCTGATTCTGTACTTGTATTTATCTCTTTTCAAAACAAAAATATTACAATCTCTCCACGTTCCTGGGCTGCAGGATACCAGCCTCCCTTACCCTCTGCCTTTAAGGAGAGTTTTCAACAACACATTTCAATACAAGCCAAGAACTTCTTCTGAAGTCCTTATAAACTGAAAATCAAGGTAAAATATCCACTTATCCATCCATCCATTTTCCGTCACGCTTAATCCCAAGCGGGGTCCTGAGGGGTGCTGGTGCCTATCTCCAGCTGTCAATGGGCATGAGGCGGTGTACACCCTGGACAGGTCGCCAGTCCATCACAGGGCAACACAGAGACAAACGGGACAAACAACCATTCACGCACACACTCACACCTAAGGAGAATTTAGAGAAACCAATTAAACTAACAGTCATGTTTTTGGACTGTTGGAGGAAGCCGGAGTACCCGGCGAGAACCCACAAATGCTCAGGCAGAACATGCAAATTCCATGCAGAAAGACATAAAACCTTTTAGCTGCAAGGCAGCAGTGCTACCCACTGCACCAAGAAAAAGTTTCCTCTAATTACTATAGAAAAAAAAAAAAAAATAAATAAATTGACTATAGATCCTTTCAAGAGATCTCAATCCATATTTTTCTGCATGGTCCTATTTTATTGCATTCATTACCTTATATATGTGCTTAATAACGATTTATGTTATTAAGTTGTTTTAATTTAGTCTGTTTTTTTTTTTACTCTATAAAGAGACCCCATCCCCATTCAAACAGTCAAAATGATTTAGTGTTGGTTGACTTTTTAATAAATTCTCATTAGTTTAGTTATGTTGTGCAGATTCTTGCTTTCTTAGTTAAACTTCTTAGTTGCTTTTTGTATTGCACACTTATTTGTGTAAATTACTTTTGTTCTAACTGGAATATTGTGAGTTCCATGTCAGTAGCCCTATTAGAAAACTATTTACTGAGCCATCTTTGACATGTTCCAAATTTTTCGCCCCTCTGTACATACAAGCTGGTCTTCCATTTCCAAACGCTGCTGGACAACTTTGAGCGGACAGTCATCGATGACAGTAGACTGGCTGGCAGACCAGCTGAGATCTTTGTTGGAAAGATGTTCAAAATGGAAGTTTGGGAGCCAATGCTGACTTCAATGAGGGTCGGAGAGGTGGCTGAATTCTGGTGTGATGCCATTGTGAGTCCTGAAGGTCTTTATAAGCCTTGATTAAAAAAAATAAAATAAAAAAAAAATAAAACAATTGGGTAGCTATTACTATACATTAGATAAACTAGGCTTCCAAACAAGGTTTTTGCATAATGTAGGTGCCTTTTGTCTGAAAAAAATGTTTGCAGATTATAACTGAGCTAGCTTATTTTGCTTAAGAAATGACTGATTACTAAAGACTCCTTTTAAAAGGGGAGTCCACATAAGTAAGTGCTAATAAGTTGTATTTATTTATTTTAGCACACAGGCTTGTATCCCATTGTGTCCAAGGGAATGAGGCTGATAGCCCAAGGAAAAGACCCCCTGGATGGCCAGAAACATATGTGCGGTATGGGGAACCTGTTCCACTATCACTCCACTGGTTTCCCGGAGCTTGATGAGATCATGCGAAATCCTCAACCACTCATATTCATCATGGAGCTGTTGCAGGTAGGGTTCAGTATTCTAATAGATAAAAACTCAAGGTCCGCAGGCCCAGGCTGGCTGATCACTTTAATATATCCTCATTGTAATACCAGAGCAGTTTGCTCTCTATAAAGTAAATTCTGAAATCAAAAGTTTTGTTTATACAGTTGCAAGCTACCATTTTAAAAACTCTATCATGCCTTATCGGTCTAAAATAAAAATGAAAAATTTTATACCTCTGTCATAAAGTGATCAAAACCAGCCCAGGCTGACGTAGACAGCTGTGTAGAGGCCTACAAACCATAGATTTGCTTTTATATGTGGGAATGGTGGTGCTGCAGAAAGAAACTTGTGATGGTCATTTAATATTTGTAATGGAAATAATTGCAATCAAATGAAACACACTTATTTCCGATTTTTTTATGTTTTAGAAGTTGCCTTGCTATTTTTGTGCTCTAACATTTTCAGTACATTCCACTAAACCAAAAAGCATTGGGCAAATTGTAGTTAGCAACTAAGTGCAAAGCACAAGAAGAAAATAAAATACAATGAAATAGAAATTTCTGATTTTGAAAGTGAACTAAAAATGCACATTTTTCATTTTTGTTGTATTTTTTTTTTAATCATAATATTTTGCTGTAAATATTGGACATTTTTTTTAATCTTTTCTAAAATAGTTCCAATATTCTCAGTTTCAACTTCTACTCCTTTTGCAGATGCAAACATTAACATTTTCTTCCCATTTTTATTTTTCCCTGTAAACAAAAGCATCTGCATCTACATTAGTGACCATTGTGTATTGGTTTGTTTCTGATGGAAGTTAAATGTTAGTTTAATCAGGTTGATAACTCACGATAGAAAAAGGCAAATCTGATCAATGAGGAAATGTCTGCACACATTTATCTAAACACATTATGTTGCCATTTCCATTAATTATATTTTATTCTATCTCTAATCCAAAAGGGAAATTAAACTGATGTGGTTTTGATCATAATTCAGGCCAGTTGACTCAAAAATGGAAAATGTATATTAGAAAGTAAACAATATTAAAACATATTGTACAACATATTAATTGATTTAGAAATGATAAATGGACTGTACTTATATACGGCTTGACGAAAGCATTTTACCCAACATTCAGTCATTCACCCATTCATGCACGCACTGATGGTAGCAAGCTACATGTAGCCACAGCTGCCCTGGGGCTCACTGACAGACACTAGGCTGCCATACGCAGGCGTCACCAGGCCTTCTGACCACCATCAATAGGCAATGTGGGTGAAGTGATTTGCCCAATGACTTGAATGTTTTTCAGAGGTAGATCTAATAATTTCGCTTTCTTATATTTACAGTTACATTTACAGTATATATAATCTCTATTGTGTATTGCTAAAACATGACCAAACATACTTTTACTCTGTTTCTCCTCCATTTCTGCAGGACTATTTCTACTTGTTTAGAAGTTTATCTTGCTGTGCTCTCCCCTTGTTCCCTGTTGCTTCTAGGTAGGAGACCCCTTGTCCTACCACAGAGAGTCATGGATGATGGACAAGGATGAGAAGTTGCAAGCGGTGCCAGTTCTTCACATGCAGGGCAATGCTTTGGTCAAGCAAAAACATTTCAGAGAGGCTGCCAGCAAGTACAAGGAAGCTGTCCTGCTGCTAAAAACAGTGCAGTCCAGGGTGAGTAAACTGTCAAGTCTCCTTGAAGTAGCTGACAGTAGGTATGACACCTGGCAAAAGGTAGAAAAATAAGAAGAGCTAAGGGTTTCAAAATTAAAGCTTATGTGAATACATTCCAGAAAAGGTTTCAATTTCTCAAAGGTATGAATTGTAGACATTTCTTTTGAGCATACTGCAAATATCTTAAAAATAACTGAGGTCAGGGCCATTCCACATGGTTAGAAATGACTAATATGGCAACCACCTGGCTTATCAGAGGGCACAGTGTTCTTTGATTTAAAAGCCTAAACTTGACTCCATCTGCTTTGTCGGATTATGACCAATTAGCTGAATGCTGATGATGAACTTTACCTCAGAAGGTTGAATTGTTCTTGCAGGTTAATTTCTCTCAGTGTTGAAGGTGTTGGTTTGGACTAAGGGTATTTCCTCTTGTCTGCACACATAAGTCCTTATAGATGAAATAATTATTCCATCATGGAACACAGGTGTTCCAGCACTTTAGTTTAGGGCAAAGGTCAGTGGTTTGAAATGCACACAATAACTAAATTTAAACTTGACAGAGGGCAAAAACATGTATCCTTCTGTTTCTCTGAAGAAACAGAAGACTGAGATAGATGTTGGGAGAGAACATATCCTGCAGGGAGTGTTGGTTCTTCTGCAGGACAAGCTTCCAGGCCAGGACCTGGTGATTTA